TGACTAGTCAGTGCTGTGCTGTGGGGGCTCCTTTTGTACCGTTTAGAGTTTTATAGTGCACTATCACCATCTCTACTAAATGTTTTAATTCTTTCATGGTTTCCGTGTTACTTTCCTGATTATTCAACATTTTTAACAATTGTACTAGTTTTACCTCTGTCATGGTTTCCGTGCTATTGCCCTGATTATTTATTAATATTTCACTTTGCAGTCATTACATTGGTTAGTTTCCGTGTTCCCTCATTATTCATTATTCAACACATTATCTAAGTATCCGCCCTACTTTTATCATCATTTCGAGTACACTGATCTCATCACGTACAAACATTTAAAATACTTGATGAACATTACATATTTAGGTTTCTCCGGATAATTAAATCACCATATTCTATAACCTGTAACCTGTAAATATGCCGTATTTGATAAAGGGTTTACCACTTGAAAGGTTCTGGAAACCTGATAGCCGTGAGTTTCCAGAGTAACGCGTTAAGGGCAGGCGGTGGGATGATGTCAGATGATGTCAGCACACATAGCGGAAATAATATTCAGCCGTTCGGACTGGGAAAGCAACTCGATTTGCTGCCTTCATTCGATCTAGATCTACACATTACTCCTGCTGTCTCTCTGTGTTGTGGCAGTGTAAAGTTTAGCAGTGTTGTTATCTTGTTTCACGCGTGTTAGCGCCTTGTTACCCTAACTTTACACCCTGTGTTACAGGCTTGTTGTTTCAGGTTGTAACTGCAAGTTTTAACATTGTAACCTAATTTCGTAATGAAGTGAGACCCATACTTGTAGCCTAACAGCTGTTATGGTTTTACACGGCTGTTTTAACATAGTATTATCTGGGTGACTGATGGTGATGATGTTAAAGTTGTAACCTAATTTGTTAATATGGTTTCCCATAAATCCGGGACACAGACAGTTCATAACACGCAATTCGAGGGGGGGGGGGGGGTCGAGGAATGCTTGTGTTAAAACTGCCACCTTGCTTGTTACACTGACCTGATAAGTCTCCTAATCGATGTGGTCCATTGTTTTAACCTTCTTTGTGATAACAAGAAAAAAAACCTTGCAAAGCCGCATTCGGTCTGTTGTGCACTAGGCATGTCAGGTACTTAACAGCAACTACTCGGTTCTTTTTAAATTTACATAATTGTAGCCGAATAGAATGCAGTTCAATATTGTTACCATGGCTTCTTCCTGTCTGGAACCATTTCAATTTTCAAGGTAACTAACAGAATTCCTCCATGTTAACTTGCTGGGCAAGTATTTAAGTAGTTTTGATAAGCATTAAATACACTTCGCTCTCCCAAAGTAATGTGTGTATTGAGTGGTCTCTATCTAATTAGTGCAAGTACACAAATGTATATCCAGCTGTACACATTAATGCTTTTAACAGAGCTAATTTCAACTAAAATGACTAAGGAAACACCCCAGCTGTGTTCTAGAACATACTTCCAGGCTTTCTGCCACACTCCCTTGTAGGTTACAATTCCGTGATAATCTGGCAAATACCGAAATATTTGAGATGTTTATAAGAAACATTAGATGAGCACCGTGAATTGCAACCAGGCGCACGTTTATAACACATTTTCAAGACATTATTATGCTAAGTTACCGCAGGAACCTACCCACTGCTAGCTTAGCTTCTAATTTTCTGCTAATTTCCTCCAATTAGCCGAACTGAATTTGCTACGTGTTAACTTAGCAATCTTCCTCGTAAAAATACCGTACAGGGCAGCTTCTCTCTTGGTTAAACGTAACATAACGATACATTCAGATCCTCTTAGACTCAGTTCATGACACCCTGGTCAACCAATAGTACTGCAACCAGCGCCGCGCAACTCTTTTGCTGCATCTCTGCAAGATAGGGGGTCGGGTACGAGCTTAATTAAGCTGTTAGCAGTATTCAGTCCGGAGTGTATCAAGTAATCTCAGGGTAACTTACACAGAGCGCCCAGCTTCATTTGCTTCATCGTCTCAAATGTGATCATATTTTAATCTCACCTACGCAATAAAATGTTACATAACCGGCCACTATGGTTCCTCAAAGTATGCATATTGATTCCTTCATGATTCTTAAAATAATGTGAATTCCATTAGTTGATATTCGTCATTACGTCAATAAGACGTGATAATTCCATCCTAAATATCCGAACTTCGTTACAATCCCCTACCAGTCTCTAACGGCCGACATAAAGCAAATTACTCGGGACTCCTAATTTCTGTCGTGTTGGATCGTGGATAGCTACTTCCTTAATTCGAGGTCACATTTCTATTTCCTCTCTCTCTCTTTCCTCTGTGTTTGTCATGGATCTAATTTGAGCGTGTCCCCTGTTGAGTGTAGAATGTTGCGTGTTGCCCGTAATTACATCCAGTAATATACGTGAGTGTGTCCGGGCAGAGCTGCACCGTGTTGGTTGGAATTCGAGTTATTTATTTATTGAGGTATTTGTATGGCTCTCTCCGCTCTAAATGCTCGGATTGTCTCCCATTGACACTGATTCTTCCAGAGCATCCCTCACTCCTACACCCACACTCGGCCTCGTACGTTAGTTCGTCTGTGTGTCAGCTACTGTGTCAGTTACTTCGTAGCACTACTGTAGCACATTGCACTCACTTAGTATCACGACTGTAGCACATTGCACTCAACACAAATTATCACCAGCTCCCCCACGTACATAGAGACTGAGTTTCCTCCAAGTTTCCTCCTACGCCGAGAAGCAGAGAGTTTCCTCTCCTATTCCTTTCCTCCTTTTCACCTATTCCGGGTTCCCCTCTAGCTCTACTATCCAGCAGGCTATGTGGCTACTGTGTGGTTACTATGTAGCTACTATTAGGTTACTATGAGGTTACTATGTGGTTACTATGTAGCTACTATTAGGTTACTATGTGGCTACTATGTGACTACTATTAGGTTACTATGTGGATACTATGTGGCTACTATGTGGCTACTATGTGGATACTATGTGGTTACTTTGTGGCTACTATGTGGCTACTATGTGGATACTATGTGGCTACTATGTGGCTACTATGTGGATACTATGTGGCTACTATGTGGCTACTATGTGGCTACTATGTGGCTACTATTAGGTTACTATTAGGTTACTATTAGGTTACTATTAGGTTACTATTAGGTTACTATTAGGTTACTATTAGGTTACTATGTGGCTACTATGTGACTACTATTAGGTTACTACGTGGCTACTATGTGGATACTATGTGGCTACTATGTGGCTACTATGTGGTTACTTTGTGGCTACTATGTGGCTACTATGTAGCTACTATGTGGCTACTATGTGGCTACTATGTGGCTACTATGAGGTTACTATGACGTTACTTAGACGTTACTATGAGGTTACTTTGACGTTACTATGAGGTTACTATGAGGTTACTATGAGGCTACTATGTGGTTACTTTGTGGCTACTTTGTGGCTACTATGTGGTTACTTTGTGGCTACTATGTGGATACTTTGTGGCTACTATGTGGCTACTATGTGGCTCCTGTCCGATGTGTCAATAATGTACTAGTCATTGTTGTCCGGCTTGCTACATTAATGAATATCACTTTACAAGGCAACAATTCTATTATACGTTTAGCTAATTGTAGAGACTAATAAATGAGATGTAGTTATCATGGGGCCTGGTTACAGAAAAAATAAAGCGAACCTGTTGGTCCACATCGCGGTTTCACATTAGTTAGGATAGAATAAAACGGCCGGAATAGAAAAAGTTTCTAAGTAGTTCACTATTCTGTCCCCCGTGTGTTTGTAACTTGTTATAACTGTAACTGTGACTTCTTTTATTTAGGAATTACAGTCTGACCCAGCTGTCTGTAGCTTTGTTAACAATTAACTTAACGAAAACATATATTACACTGCTTACTGCTTCTTTACTCCTCTTTTTATATTTTTGCGCTTATCCTACTACACCAGTTATTTTTTAAAAGTCTTATTTTCTTGACCCAAATTTAATCAGACGCCCAAGATAATATTAAAAAGATTTACAGTAAATTCCAGTTTGTTTTGCTCAGCTCTATTTTACAGAGCTGCGGACCCAGCTGCACACTTGCTACTCACAACATGTTAAAACCACACGATAAATTCGGTCGCAAACAACCGTGTTTAACATTCCAACACAATTTTGCACCTTTTACGAACCTTCTGACTTCTCGCTAGGGAAAAGAAACGCCGCCAGTGTTAAAAACTACCTGCATTTTCCCCGGTACTTAGTAGAATAAAACGTACGTTGCTTGGTGACCGTGGTATTTATCTTCACTGTTAGTTACCCTGACTTCACCGTTTGAAAGTAATTCCTATGCTGAGTAGCGCTGTGAGTAGAAGAGAGAGAGAGAAACAGTGACCACATGTTTTTGTATGTTTTTGATATTTGATCTCCGCACTTGCGCACCTCTCGTATTTCTTGTTGTTTGTACTGAGCTCTCTCCACAGCCTTTATTACAGCCGGGGGGCAGCTGGGGCAGCGGTTAACATCGCTGTGTGAACTTAATATTATGTTTAGCTCTCAATATTATATGTTCTTTTTTAAGTTTTATCTATACATTACTTCTTTCTGTTTAAACTTACCGACACCACGTAGATTAGTGTTTATAATTTACGATGATGGCTCGTTTTTAAATTCAAATTTTTGGTTTTTATGTCTCACGTTGGGTAATTACTACAGAGTCTTGTGGGAAGGATCTTCTGCCCTTCTTTACATATTTGTTTACATTCTTTTGTGTGGTTAACTTTGTTTATAACGGGTTATTGTAACCCGTTACCCTGGTTATAATCAAATTGCGATGTAGCCATCAACATGCTACAATGTGGTCTTACATTCGTCTCTAATCTAAAAATGACTTAATCCAGTCGGTTTATTATTATAACTATTAAAGCCCCTTGCTGGGATCATGGACTGAATGACATATTCTCCACTAGATCATTTCTATTGTTCCTCGTGTTTATTTCATGATCAAAATAATCAAATAAAACTTCTCCCAGTGGAAAGGATGGAGTTCCTCCGCGCGGAACAACAGCAGGCAGCGGAGCAGTTCAGCGACAAGAAACAAGTCTGGATCAATGACAAGGATCATGGCTTCGCCAAGGCTTCCATCATTAAGGACGATGGGGAAAATGTTCTCGTTCAAAATACCGTAACAATGCAGGTGAGATCAATTTTTGATTCGGGTTTTCTCAGTATGAATTTATAAGAAAGAAAGATACAAAGTCTCCTGCCGTTATTGAGACGTCTTTAAATTCCGGTACTGATTCAACACTTCACACGAGTGCTCGATGCAATATTGCAATAAAATCTAAATTCCCATTAATCGCCAACAATCTGCACTAAGTTATTATATAAAACAAACACCGTCAATAGAAGACGTAGAAGCAACACAACATTAATAATTATCAATTAGCTAGTTGAGTGACCTGCATCTGGTCGTTAGCAGTATCCAGCGTTGCTGGTGAGGGGTGTGGTGTACGTCAGACGCCTTTACCAATTGTTACGAACATATCCTCAATCCTTTATCTAATTATCACACTAATTTATCTGGCTTGCTTTCCGCGACTCCGCATATTTTAGAGCTCTGATATAGGCACTGAGTGTTGAGATACATAATGTTTTTTAGAAGCGTTGTGTTGGACAAATCAAGCGATAAATAACTGGATATGATCTGAGCTTAATAGGCTGTTTATTGTTTCAACATGAAAATAAAACTGTCTAGACCTTCAATTAGAATTTCCGTATTCCTTTCCGAACTAATCAATTCTGGATACTTCTACGGAACTTTCGAGATTCGATTGCTCCGGAGTCCTGGACTTTACACAAAACTGAATTCCATACCTTCAAAACATTAGCTTCGTCTCCACACGAGGAACAGCCAATAAATGTGTGTTTGTTTCAGGAAATAACAGTAAAGAAGGAGGATATCCAGCAGATAAACCCCCCTAAGTTCGAGAAACTGGAGGATATGGCTAACCTGACATACCTGAACGAGGCTAGTGTCCTTCACAACCTCCGACAGAGATACTTCTCATCCATGATCTACGTAAGTGAACTTGGAACAGGTCATCATAATAACCTGATATTTAACTATTCCATTAGTTGTATATATAATATTACATTAAGAATAAATTGTTTTAAGTCTGTTGATGACTATAAACTTTGACATTGATACCGATCATGCTTAAGCATTTTGATCTCACTCGTGATATAATTGCAGCTGTAATAATATATATTGTAATGTCTAGTGTGACCAATGTCAAACACCTACTACAGTGTTGAGTGTTTGTATCAAGTGCTTTAACTGTGATTAAGGAGTCTGAACATTTGTTAGTTAACAGCTTTTAGACAAGCCTGCTCTAAATTCTAAATCATTGTTGTAAATACAGTACATTTTTTTCCATCTCTAACTCCCAGTATTTCAACCCACGGATTACGGGAAAGTGTAAAATTTTGCCGACATATCTTGCAGAGAAAAATGCTGCATCAGGGATGTGATATATAATATACCGTGTTAAGTTAGATTTTAATATTTACGGAGGTGGGCGTGTCCTCTACAGTAAAATACCGGTGAGCCCGTACGACAGGGAAAAGCGCGCAGGGCTCGCCGCTCAAGATACCGAAGTGCACTAATGACTCAGAATAGTCTAACTGACCCCAGAATAGCACACCTTCCCCGAAAGTATAACCTCTTATGAAATCGAAACCTACAATTTGTAAAACATGGCGCACGTCAAAAGTTCCCTATTTTGTGGGCTACACCCGTTTAATGTAATGTCGAGTGTGTTCGGTTTAACGTAATTAGATCCGCAAACTCTCTCTGAGTTTTACACCCGCACACTTGTACAATGACGTATTGTTGGAGAAAACTTGTGTGTTCAGTGTCAGAATATAAGGGTGTGGAGTCTTGTTTCCGTTTAAACTTGTCATCGTGGAGTCACATATAAGGATTACGTTATTATGGCTGACGGAAGCTCAAAAATTACAAAGTTGTTGCCACCGAACGTCGAACTTTGAACCAATAATTGGACCCTGTTTTATCCTTCCCATAGACTCCAGGTCTCTGTGTAGAATGAATCCTGGACTCAGAGACTGACCGCCGTATTTGATTATACCGACCATATGGTGTCTGGTATGATGTGGTGGCGAGAAGTTTTAAGATGCTTAATTCCGGTGAAAGATGACACTGTACTTTGTAGAATTATCTGGGAATGAATGGATTGTGCCTTGTGCTGATTTAGCACATTCCATTGTGTGATTTCATGTTTTCCACTTACATATAACTAACAGGCCCATAAAAGGTAAACTAAGATTTAACGCTAATTATATAATGACCAGTCTTCACCCCCCCCCCCCCCAAATATATATCTTCAAAATGTTTGAAACCTACAAAACCCCCGAAGTGGTAACTTTGAAAGGGTGTCTGACGTAGATTGGATCAACTCTGTATGTAAACAGGATCTCAGGGGATGTTCCAGTCGTTAAAATGTCTGTGCTACACTCTACTCCACCCGTAGAATTGTTAAATATCAACGCATAACTTAATAGGAGGCTTCCGTTGTTATATCGTGATAGGATCTCTATTGTCCTGAGTGTTGCCACTCGTCAAGGATAAATAGCCGATGATGTTTAACGGCATCTCTGGGATTTTATTAACCCCTCTTATTTCTTCAGACCTACTCTGGCATCTTCTGTGTGGCTGTCAACCCTTACGCTAGACTGCCCATATACACTAAAGAAGTGATCAACTCTTACCGTGGAAAGAGGTACCGCCACACTTTCATCTTAACTTCTAATGCTTCGACCCTCCTCGGGAACTGCTGACCTGCTTAATTTTAAAATCAGTTAAACATTAAGTAATATGTCTGGAATGTGATTTAACTTCATGACACAGCCTACTTGTTATTTTGAGACTCCTACTAAAATGCAGTCACTGAAAAGTAAGGCTGACAAAATTTGACGTTGTAATTGAAGAATACAGAAGCGTCTCATAATATAATTTTCTCTGCACCTGACAGGAAGTAGCATTGTTGCGCAACTGCAGCCAAAATAATTTTGTGCACAATTCCATAATTACTAAACCAACATCCTAAATCAGGCGTACGGAGATGCCCCCTCATATCTACACCGTTGCTGACGAATCTTACCAAACCATGATCCAACAGAGGGAGAATCAGTCTATCCTTATTACCGGAGAATCCGGTGCTGGAAAAACAGAAAATACCAAAAAAGGTATCATTCAATATTTTCTGTTTGACACGAAGTATAGTTAATGAGAAAGTTTGTTCATGCATTATCCCAGATAAACTCTTGATAATGTAATGTTATGTTTTTTGATAAAATGATATTTTTAAGGTAACAATTTCATTTTTTAATATAAAAAACGCATGAAATGTAAAAAAGGAGTAAAATAATGGCTGTGTAAACATCACTTGACCCTCTGCCTTGCCCAGTTATCCAATACTTTGCCTCAATTTGCGGGGTTGAGAGTAAAAGTACCGATGGTAGCAATCTGGATGAACAGCTTGTCCGATGTAATCCTGTCCTTGAGGCTTTCGGAAACGCCAAGACTATCAAGAACGACAACTCTTCCAGATTCGGAAAATTCATCCGTATTCATTTCGGAACCCAGGGCAAAATCCATAGGTAAATTAATGATTTATTATGCATGCAGTTTAGTTTTGTACTTAACACTACATCTTCAGTTGTATCCTACTTCGCATCAGTCTGTGGAGTGGGTGATCAGGTTGGCCAAAGCAACAGTGACCCTGAGTCCCCGGAAGGAAAAACCACACTTGACCAGGCCCTTGTCCGATGTAATCCTGTCCTTGAGGCGTTCGGAAACGCCAAAACCCTGAAAAACGACAACTCCTCGCGATTTGGAAAGTTTATAAGGATACATTTTGGTGGTACCGGGAAGATTCATAGGTAACACGAGTTGCTGATCGCTGAAGTGCGATAGTGTGTCATCCCGTTTTGTGAAGCTGTCTTTCCTAATGAACTCTATAGCTAAAGTTTGATTTTACTGCTGTTTGAATTCTTCAATCAATGACTGAGTGAAGAACGCGGTATTTTGACAGAGTGATTTTGTTTCGCGAGAGGGAAAAAGGTCAATTCAAAGGAACCGGCTTACTTTGAAATGAATACATTTTTTGCTTTTTGTGTGCGAGGTTTGCAGTGTGAAGTTGTGTGAAGTTCAGAAGTTGTGTGAATTGTGTGAAGCCGAACCAGCTACATATACCGCTATTCTTAAATTCTTGCTAAAGATAATCGCTAACAGGAATCGCTAAAGGGAATCGCTAAAGGGAATCGCTAAAGGGAATCGCTGATTATTGCGTTGCTGTTACTCGATTCTAATACTTATCATTAAACCAACTCTCTTATCATTAAATCAATCATTAAATTCCTTTAAATGTGGTTCAAACTAGTGATGTGATGAACTATTTTCAATTATGAACTGGACTTGTTTCCATTTAAAAAGACTCTTAAAAACTATCTTACCCAATAATTTCCACCCAGTGCTGACATAGAGAGGTATCTTCTGGAGAAGGCAAGAGTAACTTATCAGAACCCTGATGAGAGATCTTTCCATATCTTCTATCAGATGCTCAAGGGAATGAACGCTGACGAGCGTGAGTATTCGGAGAATCTTGGTGTTTCTTTATAAATCATAAACCGCCCGACTTGTTTTTCCTGTCTAATATAGGAATTTGATGGTGATATAAGCGGGATATAGATGGGAATGTAATCAATGTTTTTTAATTATTTTAAAACCTACCAATCTTCCTAACCCATGGATCATATCTTAGTTAACATGGATAATATCTTAGTCAACACTATTCAACACACTTGTCTAATAAGACATGAACAGATCTTGTTTTACAGTAAAGGACTGCCTGTTGACCAACAGTCCCAACAATTACGCGGTGCTCAGTAACGGAGATGTCATCGTTGACAGTCTGGCAGATCCAGATCTCTTCCTGGAGACCCAACAGTGCATGGGTGTCCTCAACTTCTCCAGTTAGTACTTCTTCACCCCAAATTCTTTCTTTAAATTTTTTCCATTTCACCCTTTTGTAAAAAGGCAATAGTGAAAGGTTACGAATGGAGGTTTTTGCAGAAAAACGTGGATTTTGGAGATTGCGGTAGGTGGGTCAAATATATGTCGTGTTCCTTGCTTACTTCCGTTCGTTACCAAGCAACGAAAAAGTTGCGCGCGTGCGAGAATTGCTTGCGGAGATGTGATGTATAGATAGCCTGTGATCTATGAATGCGCGGCGCGACTGTGTTTTAATGTATATGATGCATGTAATTTGTATAATATTACTATTAGGTAATACACCCAATTTGTACGTGGCACGTGTAGTGTATTGATGTGTATACTCGAGTATAGTTTACCTTTGCTGATAATTTCTTGAATTACAGATACAAGTTAAGTTCTACGGCAATTGAACTGAATTTCAAGTGTTTCCCGTATTTGATGCATAATTTATCAATATTATTATCATGAAGATTGAAGTGAGCTGATCGGAGCTTATACTTAAATTTATAGTAAATGTGGAATGGAAATCTAGCGTCCGCCAAAACGAAACAACGGGCGCAATTCTTGTTAAATTCTTAAATTCAACTTTAACTGTGAACGTTGTACAATGTACGTTTTAGACGGTTTTTCACTTAGGTATTCGTAGCAACTACCAAATTTCCGACCTGGCTTCGTCCAATTACACCAATTATCTTTGCCCGAAGTTGACTATTAGTACTATAAGTACTAATTGTAAATAGTCAATCAATACTAGCCTTTGACACGAACCTGATTACCATTGTTCTTGTTAGTTATCCTAACGGAATGCTATATAATATTGCTATACGTTAGTCGGCATTCGTCACAATGAAAATGTCATATTCGTATCATAACTTTTGATACGTTAACTCTGACCAATTCTTATATTTGACACATTATAAAGTATACAGTTAAAACGTGGTACGAAACTGAGTTTTTTATGAACGGAATAACAGATACCTCATTACCAAATTATGTTATAATTATTTCACGATCTATCACACTATATGCTAACTGTTACCCATCACTAACGGTTACCCCTCACTTATCGTTACCCCTCACTAATCGTTACCCCTCACTAATCGTTGCCCCTCACTAATCGTTACCCCTCACTAACCGCTACCAAACTTTCAGAGGAACTACAGAGGAAGATATTCAGGTTCGCTGCTGGAGTACTACATCTTGGTAACACCCAGCTGAAGTCCAACAAGAGAGATGAGGGTTGTACCATTGATGACGCTCAGGTACGATTTGGGAGAGAGTTGATTTTTAGGTGTTTTTAGGGTTTAAAATTTATTCGGTATTATCATTAACTTAATGACTGATGATTTGGTTCTTTATAAAGATTAAAATAGATGGTCGATGTGACTTTTAGTGTGTTCGGTATTATTGTAAAGTTAATGGCTGATGACTTTGATTTGATATCATGTCCTAAGTCTTCAATTGGTGTGCATTCCATACACCGCAAAAGGTTTTCTGCCCGCTAATATAGTAATATAGTAATATATTAGCAGTATTGAATATTTACTAAATACTTCACAGTGGATCGACAAAGCTTGCCACATGTTTGGTGTAAACGCTGTCGAGATGACCAAAGCTCTGATCAAACCTAGGATCAAAGTAGGAAACGAGTACGTCCACAAGGGTCAGAACGCAGAACAGGTTAGTCGGTCGTGGTCACCAGCTTCAATACCGTCTCTTAATAGTAAGCTTAGTCAGTCGTGGTCACCAGCTTCAATACCGTCTCTTAATAGTAAGCTTTAAGTCCCAACTTCTACAATGCCAAATAGTGGACAAAATAGGTTGGTATGAGATGGCTCTAATTTCTAGATTACGACAGTTACCCTACTTCAGGTAAAATACAGTATCAATGCCCTTTGTAAGAGTGTGTTCGAGAAGCTGTTTAAACTTGTTCTGGACATGTGTAACGAGACACTCGAGACCAAACTCAGGAAGAACTTCTTCATTGGTGTTCTTGATATTGCTGGATTCGAAATCTTCGAGGTAAGTTGGTTTCTCTAACCTGTATGAATAAATAAACAGTGATATCCCCAGTTTCCTGTTCTCCTCGTTGTATCGTTTTCATGATTTTGTTTCTAATGTGATCACGTGGTTAAACACAGTTCTTTCTCAGTTCAACTCGTTCGAGCAGCTGTGTATTAACCTTACAAACGAGAAGATCCAGCAGTTCTTCAATCACCACATGTTCACATTAGAGCAGGAAGAATACAGGAAGGAAGGTATCAAGTGGGACTTCATCGACTTCGGGCTGGATCTGGAGCCAACGATTGAGCTCATTGAGAAGGTTTGTCCAAACTTAATTTGTACAAACAAACTTTTAATTTGTACAATAACTTAATTTTGTAAAGTGTGACTCCTACCGTCTCTTGGGTTACTCAGTTTCTGGCAGTTTGGTGCCTGCCAAATATCGAAACTTATCGGGCAGAGCTTTGGCATGTAAGTGTCAAATTGGAACTTGAGAATATTTAATTGAGGATAATAATAATAATATGTTAAGGAAACCACATTACGGGTATTATGCTCGCGAGTTAGTTACAATAAATGTAAAGTGTTGAAATGTTGTAAATACCCTTTATCTCAGAATATGGGAGTGTTTGCGGTCATGGACGAGGAATGTATCATGCCAAAAGCTTCCGACCAGACCTTCCTCTCAAAACTTACCCTCTGTCACAACAACAAACATCCTAAATTCCTTAAACCATCCGCTAAGAGTGAGTTATCTAAATTTTCAGTTAAAATTGTCAAAAACAGATCTGTGAGAGCATGTTAAAATCCTTCCTTAGGATTTTATCGTTTTTATTACGATTCCTGTTAAGTTAACCATGGCTTTTTCAGGCTCGATGGGTATAAACCCAGTGCACTTCCAAGTAATCCATTACGCCGGAGTTGTTGGCTATAACGTCGACGGTTGGTTAGACAAGAACAAGGATCCTCTGAACGAAAATGTTGTCGAGGTTTGTGTACAATTTTTCTCAAGAATTGTGAGCGTTGAATATTCAAATTATAACCTGAATATCCTACGCTTCCCAAAATGTCTGGTTTCAAATTGAGTAGTCTGGTTTTGGATGTAAAATAAATTTAGACACGAAAACCTGCAACCGGTTCTGAGGATACTCAGGATCTTTTCGTTCCGGGTGTGGAGTCCAGTGTCTACTAAAATGTCTACGAAAATGTCTTCGAACTGTAGCCTGCTCTGCTATTTGTGCTGTTGAAAGAGATAATATTCCCTCTTTGAACAGCACACATAATAAAATAACGATGATAAAACGAAAATATCCATGAGAATTGTTCCAACTTTTACAATTATTTTACACAATTATCCATCACAGCTGTTCGTTAAGAGTAAGGACCCCGTATTCAGCAAGCTCTTCGAAGCTCCAGAGGTAGCTCACACTGGCCGAGGACGTAAGAAGGGAGGATCCTTCCAGACGGTGGCCATGATCCACAAACAGGCTGTGGAGCACCTCCTCAACACCCTCCAACAGACCACACCTCACTTCATCAGGTTACTTTATTTCCTTGTAAGGTCAACAACACAGCCTGCAGCAACATTTTGTCACATTCTGGGGAGTTTTTGTAGCTGTTTTTTTGGTGTCTCGATGTCTTTCCAAATTGCTGAGATATTATCCCCTGCACACGTTGCTGTCTGATGATGCATCATCCCAGCAGCAGCAGACGTACTAAAACAAGTTATCTAGCAAATATTTCTGGAGAATTGTTGACCAAAAAGGAGTCCCGACATATGATCTATCATAAAAATTTATTAAACTCAGTCAAACAGACGAAGCCAAACCAAAGTTTAAAATTCTGCCAAAGCTCAACCAATCAGATAAAAACTGAATCCTAACTAAATTTTGACGCGTGCCTGTCTCAAAATGTTCGTCGAAAACTGATAGTGATAGCTAGACGCGATGCTTTTAGAGTTTTACAAATATGTAGCACTTGCTAGTGGCGATAAAATCAGTTAAACTTTAACTATAAATCTCCAGGTGTATCCTGCCCAACATGAAAAAGAAGAGCGGTATTATTGAGGCTAAACTTGTTCTCGAACAGCTCAGGTGCAATGGTGTACTTGAAGGTATCCGTATTGTCAGAAAGGGATTCCCTAACCGTCTCCTTTATCAAGAGTTCGTCCAAAGGTTGGTACATTTAATCTAATATAGCAAATCTCTCGCCTTCCACCAATATACATTATACATGATACACACATTACATAGTACATACATACAAAAAATTAATGTTACTTTTGCTTTTGTTACTTTTGTTATGTTGTGTGTTCACATTTTCACAACATTAGGTGGAGTTTATAATGATCTTATTTTCAGGTATACAATTCTTGCCCCCAAGGCTATACCAGCTGGCTTTGTTGATGGAATGAAGGCCACTGAGAAACTTGTTGAGGCCCTGAATCTAGAGGAGAATGAATTCCGAATGGGTTACAGCAAGGTAATTATCACTTTCAATTTATACACAAATTTGCTCGCGCAAAACAGCGATATACACAAATCGAAATCACACGATGAAATTTTAAATAGCTTGGATTGTAAACTTTCATTATTCAGATCTTCCTTCGAGCCGGTGTGATCGGATCTCTAGAAGATAAGCGTGATGAGAGAGTAAAGGAGGTTCTGATCGGATTCCAGACCCTTGCAAGAGGCTGGCTGGCCAGGAAGAGGTTCAGGAAGCTTCTAGACCTGAGAGTAGGAGTGCTCGTTGCTCAGAGGAACACAAGACAGTACTTCATTCTGAGGAAATGGCAGTGGTGGAGACTGTTCACCAAGGTCAAACCACTCCTCTCCGTCACCAGGTGTGTAGAGAAAATATTACTTACTTGTACTTGAAAAGGTCTCCTCCTAGTCGTTGGAGTGGCCTGCACCACATAGTAACTCCTTTCTCCGATGTATTAGGCCTCTCCAATGTACCCTGTTTGTTGCTTGTTGTTCTGCATCTTCTATCGTGATGTTATCGACACCTGTGAAGATTGCTGCATCCTCCCGGACACATGACAGCCAATTTTTCCGAGGTCTACCTCTTGATCTTTTACCATGCTTTGGGATCCAGTGCAGAAGATAGTTGGGTATTCTTTCTTCTGGCATCCTCACCACATGGCCAAACCATCGGAGCCTAGCTGCTCGTACGAAAGTATCAACAGGGGCGATGTTGGCCCGCTTACGTACGTCAGCATTAGATACGTGATAAAACCATTTGATTTTCAGGATTCTTCTCAGACATCTGTGATGGAACACCTCAAATCTTTTCATCTGCGTCTGTGTGGTATTCCATACCTCACTTCCATAAAGCAGTATAGTGAGGACAGCCGCTTTGTAGATCCTGATTTTAGTCGGTGTCTTGATGTTGCGACTGTACCATATACTGCTAAGCTGATAGAATGCCCCAGAGGCCTTCTGAATTCGAGCTGATAGTTCTTTGTCGATTGTTCCATCCGCACTGATGATAGCACCCAAGTAAGTGAAGCTGCTGACCTGCTGTATTGGGAGACCTTCCACATTGATGTCCATAGTGTCGTCTTTAGAAAACGGCCTCTGCGATGCACTTTTACTGACAGCCATGCTCTGTGTTTTGCCAGCATTAATCTTCAGACCCGCATAGGCACTGTATTTGCAGAGAAGGTCAGTGGTTTCCTGCAGCCCCTCTTTTGAGTTATCTAACATGGCCATGTCATCAGCGTAATCAGTGTCCAAGAGATGTTTCTCTTCTACCCCGGGGGCTGGCAGCTGTAATAGAGCCCCCTTACTAATGACGGTTCTTCAATAAATCTTTTGTCTTCTGAGATTGGTGCCTGTCCTTCTTTTTTCGAGGTCTTTGCCCAAGGATTTCCATGGAGACTTGTTGGACAGTTGTCTTGAAGTTGTCCCACATTGATTCCAGGTCAACCTCAGGTTCCAAACAGTCAAATTTGTTTCTCAGAACAATATTGTATTCGGAAACAAGTGAATGATCACGCAGATGCTCAATAGCAGGAATCTCAAGCTTACGATCCTGCTTCTTTTTCACTGACATAAGCTTCATTCTCAGTCGTGCTCTTACCAAATAGTGATCAGACCCAATGTCAGCCCCCCTACAAACTTTTACATTTAGCAAAGAGCCTCCAAACTTCTTACTGATACAGATATGGTCTATTTGGTTTACAGTACGACCATTAGGTGATCTCCACGTACCTTTATGTATATCCTTTTGCTGAAACATAGTGCCACCGATGGTAAGTTGGTGGGCAATGCAAAAGTCCAACAATCGGGTACCATTGTCATTTGATGAGCTGTGAAGCGAGTGTCCACCAATGACACCTGACATAGAACTGCAGTCCGATGTGACCTTAGCATTAAGATCACCGAGCAGTAATTTTAAATCATGTCGGGGTAGCTCATCGAATGCACTTGACAACTGCTGGTAGAATTCATCCTTATCATTATCTGAAGCCCCCTCAGTTGGCGCATATGCCACAACAACAGAGATGTTCAGGTGTTGACTATGCAGCCTTGCACTCAACAAACGGTCAGATATTGGTAGATAGGAAATTAATGAATTTTTAATCCTCTTTGAAAGGGTAAGACCGACACCTCGCCTTCTTATACCGTCCGTCCTCCCTGAATAAACAAGTAAGGAGCCATTATCCAGTAGCTCTGATCCAGTACCAGGCATATGGGTCTCAGTTATACCCAGCAAGTCCAACTTATACTCAGAGATATTCTGTGATAGCTGGAACAACTGACTTGAACTACTTGTCAGAGATAATACATTCCATGTCCCAAATGTAAGACCTGTTTTAGAATAATTCGCTGGCTGTTTCTTATTAGAGTCGGAGTCCACATGGGTGATCTGTGGAGAAATAAATCTGCTACAATGACGTGTTCTCCCAACACTCATCTGGCCACGGGGGTCCCTTAGGCTTTGCCCCGCCACCTTCATACTGGTATCATCCGTCCTTGCAGAGGGAGCCACACACCGTTTCTTGTTGTTACTTTGTGATGTTTCTGCAGCAAAATTTTTAGAGAGGAGAAGTTGCCAGCATCTCGCACCCGGTTTTTTATCGACCTTTGCCTGTCTAGATCCATAGTGTTTAGTTGCATGTCATCTGTTTATACTGGAGTCACCCAGGACAGATTACAATGCTTAATAGTAGCACCTCGAAAAGGATGTGATTCTTCATCACGCACTATGGTCATTGGAATAGGAGAGGTGATTGGTTACACGATCACTATTCCCTGAGATTAAAAATAATCTCTTGCCACCAAGAGAAAATATTAGGATAGAATAATATTTAGGATAGAATATTAGGATAGAATAATATTTTACAGTGGTCATGTCTGCTTTTTCAGAAGCTGTTTTGTTTTTAGGATCGGATTTAATTGTAGTTCATACATAAATTCTCCGTAGGCAAGAGGAAGAGTTCAAAGAGAAAGAAAAAGAGATCGAAAGAGCGAGAATACAAGCGGAAGAGTTCAAGGTTCATACTGATGATCTCCAGGCGAGACTGGACGCCGCCCTGACTGAGAACGGGAAAGTGAAGGACACCCTCACTAAAGAACAACAAGCTGCTATTGAAGCCGAAGAGCAGTGTACCAAACTTGAATCTATGAAATCCAAATTAGAAGATGAAGTGTCGGGCTTGATGGATCAGATAGATGAAGAGCAAGATAACAACTTCAAGATAAGCGCCCAGAAGAGAGCTCTGGAGGCTGAACTCTCGGATGTGAAATCTAACATAGAAATTTTAGAATCGAGTATCAAGACGGTTAGTGTGTGAATATTATTTTCTGTCCTTCTGGTTTTAATATCAGAAGTCAATTCTCCAAACTGCACTGATCTTACCTCATTATATTTCCCACTTTTATGAACAAAATTATTGAACCAGTGCTTTTCCAGAAAGACGCAGATCTGCATAGGAAGGACGAGGCTTTAACTGCTAAAGAGGGGGAATGTGCGAAGAAAGACGAAGAGATGAGAAGATTGGCTGATAAACAGAAGAGTCTGGAAGCTGCCATAACCGATCTTGAAGTGAGCCTTGCGTCCGCTTCCGAGAAAGCAGCCAGTTTGGATAGAGCCAAGAAGAAGGCAGATACTGAAGTCAAACGTAGGTGTTATTATACTTGGCATTGTTTGCTATTTGAAGCACTTTACCGTTAAATGTTCACGATAGATTGAACTGACCTAATTCCCTATGGAATTTCACTATTTCTCATGTCGTTACTTTTGTACTACTCAGGTTTGACCGAGGAGCTGGATAACGAAAGGCTCAACAAAGCTACTTTGGACAAGAACCTGAGGACCAAAGAAACCGAACTCAAAGACACAGTCGCCAAGCTTGAGGATATTTCCAAGTAATGACCATTCTTGTGGCAAATTCTCCTTGTAACATCCCTATAGTTAGCATTTCGTACAAATTCTTATGTTTAATTTAAAATTTGTGATAATAACACGATATTATCTCAGCGCCAAAGCACTTTGCGAGGCAGAGCTGAAGAAGCGCGAAGCTGAGTTGGCTCAATCGAACCAGCTGCTGGAAGAGGAACAAGAGGCCGGTCAGAAGAAAGATAGAAATGCTAAAGATCTGAACAACAAGATCCACGATCTTGAGGAAGAACTTGAGGTAGGATAACAGTTTTTAGGTTCATGCGAATGCAGTGATTTAGATTACAGTGTTTGTACATTTCACCTAGCGGATGAAAATACATGTTGGGTTATTGTTGGCGTAGTGTATCGCAATTTTAAACATAACTATACAGTATACAGTATACAGTATACACCTCGATGTTTAAATTTTATGTCTGTGTACCAAACTGGTACTGACAAGTCCTTCATAAACGCTTTATTTCAGGGCGAAAAAGCCGCCAAAGCCCGAGTAGAAAGACAGTGTAAAGAGCTGGATCGTGAATTACAGGATCTTAATGAGAGGTTGGAAGAAGCTGGAGGTGCTACTGCTGCTCAGGTTAATCCAGTTAAATCTTACTGTTCTGGTTTTACATATGGGCTATCATGATAGTTTAAAGTTTTTACCTAAATTCAGATAGTTTATGTTATCGAAATCAGGCATATAGCGATAAAATGAAAGCGTTTGCAATTGAAATCCGTGAATGACCCATCCATAAGTGACCATCCCGGCCCGTCAGCTGATGTTACTATAGTGTACAAATTTGAAGGAGTGTTACCAGGCAAACCACTCGGCTGTACAGACTCCTGCACAGAGACTATTATTAAGTTTGTAATGAGTTTACCTCTGTCAAACATCATTACATCAGCTATGGCAGGTTCCTGATTGATCTCGAATCTCGGGACACTGACATAAGTTGTTGAAAGTTAACCCGACATTTTCGTTTCGTTATCTTGTATCGTTCTAATGTAGCCTTTCTAGTATTTACACACAACCATGTCGGTGTTAGATTTATCCTATTCCTACAAAGTAATATGAATAACTGGTATTAATTGTCGTCTTTCCCTGGACTGATTCACTTAGTCTTTATTTACTCTTCATGATTTCTCTTGAATTACATGATCGATTTCGTTCATTAATAACTCGATTGATAGATTAATTGACGCTCCAACTTTCTTTAGATCGACGTGAACCGACGAAGGGAGGAGGAGATACAGAATTTGAAGAATGAACTCGAGAACTCCGAAAGGGAACATGGTGAGGCAGTTGATGGTCTCAAGAAGAAGCTTAATGAGACTCAACTTATGTTGGAAGAATCACAGGAGCTCGCCAAGAAGACTAAATTGAAGTGGGTATTCGTTTAAAATACTTTCTAGATTTACCATTCCACTAGATGATACTATTCTAGTGTCGAGTATAATACCTTCTCACAGAATGATTTGAATTAATCCCTTGAAAATAACTTTATTTCTCACGTATCATATCTCCAGGAACGACAAAGACCGAGCCGCTGCTAAGGGTGAGTTTGATGCTCTAAGCGAAGCCCACGACAACCTCCAAAAACAGAAATCAGCGCTGGAGAAAACAGCCAGAACGTTGGACGAACAGTTGGGAGACTCTAATAGTCGTTGTGCTACCATGGAAACAAATCTGAGGGACCTAGCTGATAAATACAACAAGTAAGATATTTTCTAAAGTTACAGTCGATGTTTAGAGGTTTTTCTATTAATAATATAGTAATATACTCGAGTAAATAATGTATATATATATATTTGAATTTTTAATTTAGCGCCATCAATGGTTGATATGAATAGGATGAGGCTTTTTAATTTATTGTCACTAAAACGAAATTTTCAGATTGGTTAAGGAGAACAACGAATTGTGTGCTCGTATCGAGGATATGGAAGTTAAAGAAGTTAACTTGAACCGAAGCAAAAAGGGCCTGCAAAACCAGATCGATGAGCTTAACAGCCAGATCGAAGTCGTTACTTCTGAGAAGAACGGTCTCGCAAATCAGCTGAAACAGGCTGCCTCCGAGATTGACAATCTACAGGAAGAGCTGGAGATGTCTATCAGCGAACGGGAGGACAAGGAGAGAATGCTTGGCCTCGCACAAAACGAGCTGATTGCTGTTAAGGGTGTTTGTGAAAGCGAACATGTACCCAGGATCGAAGAACTTGAAACTGAGAACAGGAAACTCCAGCTGAAGATTGCAGAATTGGAGGATACTGTTGATGAAGTTCAAACGAAGGCCAACCAAGCTGACAAGACGAGACAGCGTCTCACACTAGAGTTGGAGGATACAACTATTGAGCTTGATCGTGTGAAGAACGATCTGGGATCTATGGAGAAGAAACAGAGGAAGGTGGATCAACTGGTGAGCGAATGGAAGGCAAAATACGACCAGGAGACGACAAAGAACGAGGGTCTTGTCAGAGAGATCCAGAAGATCAACACTGATTCTATGAACATGAAGAACTCCAACACAGAGCTTCAAGATGAACTTGATAATGTGAAGCGACAAATGAAGTCACTCCAGGGTGAAAATGCTGATCTTATTGAACAGCTGGAGGGAGGCGGCAAAGCCACTCACGAGATTGAGAAACTGAGGAGAAAGTTGGAGGCAGAGAATGAAGAGCTAAGGAACCAGCTAGAGGAAGCTGAAACTCTTCTGACAATGGAGGAGAACAAGACCTCTAAGCTAACTCTAGAGCTTAGCCAGCTGAAAATGGAAATGGAGAAGAGGCTCGGAGAGAAGGACGAGGAGACCGACAAGGACAGAAAGAATCTGCTGAGACAGATCGACTCTCTGCATCAATCTATCGAGGATGAAACCAAGATTAAGAACGACCTGATGAAAGCCAGGAAGATGGCTGATACTGAGGTCGCTGGACTCCACGATGACCTTGACAATGCCGAGAAAACAATAGGAACTCTAAACAGTAACCTAGGCAAGCAGCAGAAGGCAATCAACGAGCTCCAAACAGCGCTCGAGGACTCTAACAAGAATGGAGAGAACCTCAAAACAGCGCTTATTAAGAGTGACAAGAAGGCCTCTACTCTTGCTAACGAGAAGAGCGATCTCGAAGCGGCAGTTGAGAGAGTCGAGAGACTCCTTAAGAGCATGGAGAACGAGAAAGCAGAGCTCACCGGTCAAGTCGCCAACCTCGAAACTCAGGTTTGTTTTATACAGAGAGTCCAGTGGTTAAAATACTAAATCATATAATTTTGCGATCTGGTGTAATTTTGTTGTTTTATGTTCACAATAACACTCTCACTACATTTCACTTTAGATAACTCTATGTTATATACGGTTTTTACGGTGTAACCGCTTTATATTGATTACATATTTTTGGCAATAATAATAACGATGTACACCCTGCAGCGTAATTCTGTGGAGAGCTCTCGTAAGAAGCTGGATGCAGAATGCCACCAGTTGCGTGACTCAATCGAGGATCTTGAGGAGGAAAAGAGGACTGCTGATACGATGACTCAACGAGCTAACGAGGCCCTTCACCGCACTCAGAGCGAACTAGCTGTAGAACAGGAAGCTAAGAGCAACCAAGAGAGAGCTTGCCAGACTCTTACCAGGAGAATTGTCGAACTTGAGGTAAAGATATATGAGGGCCGAGGGGTTGTCAGGTGTAGTTAATGTTATATATTATTACATTTGAAGATTTGTCACACTTAAGCTTTTGTCTGTGGTACATATTTGCATAATCAGTTCCTTTCAGAGCCAACTCGAGGACTTGGAACAGCAAGCAAGAAACGCTGGCAAGTCCAAGATAGCCGCCCTGCAGAACAAGGTCCGACAGTCTGAAGCTGATCTCGACAACGAGTCTAAGAGGCGCATGGACGCGGAGAAGGTAAGCTTTAAAAAACATCAAAACATCATTAGAAAACTAGATATACATTCATTCTCAATCGAGTTGTTTCTTTAAACATCAACTCAATATTCTACCATGCATAGTTTCGAGATTGTAAGTTATTCTCTCTATCAGGCTGTTAAGAAACTGGAGCGAGTGATCAAGGAGAACGCGTTCAACGCAGAGGAAGATCATAAGACGATCCAAAGACAGCAAGCAACTCTCGACATGAACAACACCAAAATCAAGACACTCAAGCGAAACATGGATGACTCTGTAAGGCTCACAATATAAGCAAAAATTCCGAAATTTCAAATTCTCAGTTTTCCTAGTTTTTTTCCATGTGTATGAGCTGAAACTGTTAACTGATAGACTCTTCTTTCCTCTTCAGGAGACTCAAGTGTCTCAGCTGCAATCCAAGCTGAGGAAGGCTCAAGCTGAGTTAGCAGAGGCCGAGGAGCGGGCGGATCTGGCTGAGAGCTCTCTAAGCAGAGCTGCTGGCAGGAACAGAGCGGCTGCTGGTCGAGTAGCTAGGACGGTAAGTAAAGAACTTGGTTAACAGCTACCGAAGTTAACTTCGGTATCCGCGCTGCTGATCAGTTTTAAGCGCTTTTACTGTCATCTACCTTGGCTAGATTTTTAATTATTTTATCCAGGAGCTCTTTGATTTGGTTAGCCCGACCAAACCTGGATCTGTAAGTGGACTGCTTACTGTGAATTTGAAGCACGTATCCCACGAGCATTTTGCAGCATACACAATTAATGAGGCCCAAATAATGAATGCTTTTATGTTCATATTCATAAAAAAGTACAACAATCAATTTACCGAGAGCATAAGCTTGAACGTTTTTGCATTACTATAACAGCTATGATTGAATCACTTTGGAGGTTTTCAGCATAAAAAAGGCAACATGCAAAGCAACGAAGCATTTTATGTTGTTGAAATTGTAAGAATCAAATGTCTCTATGTTCTCTGTACATTCATAGGCTGTTTTGCTTATCTTTCAAAAGTTTTTTTACCCGGTACTGCAAGCCAAATTGTCTCTGCTAGAGTGGATCCCGTATTTTCTCGAGCCTGCTCGAGCGGATCCCGATTGTTTTTCTAGCACACCGAGCGTACCCACTTTTGAAAGGTAATCAGAGTATTTTTATCATCTTCAGAATTCCCCACTAAGTATGGCCTGTCTTATAGTATATATATATAGTATATAGCGCTGAACATTCCCAATATTTAGGTCCCTGGTGTACGCCACCATTTGTGCAAATTTGTTTTATATATATATTAGGCAATTCCCGTAGTTAATTTGTCGAAGTGAATCTTTTGAGTGGTTTCTCGGTCGTTTAAGTTGAGCCAATATGCACCTGTTGTTTGTTGTTGCACTGCTAGTGCTATTATATGCTCTTTAGTCTTCAAGCTTTACCACAAACGGCACCTTTGCCTTTTTTCAGCCATCATTTCACGCGACAAATCACACATCACATAATGGCACATTTGTCACAAGACATCGTCATAGCAACGTGACATGACATTTGTCACGTGTTACATTTGTCACGTGTTACAGGAGTACGTTCCAAGAAACTCTCGAAATAAGCAGGAAGATGAAGAAGAGGAATAGTAAGTGTGCTGCATGTGTGTGTGTGTGTGTTTCACTAGTTACCATGGTCTTTCAGCATGTGTTATCATGGTAACTGCATGTTTTTTTGTGTGGTAACTGCATGTTTTTTGTGGTCACTGCATGTTTTTTGTGGTAACTACATGGTTTATGTTTATGGTCATTGCATGTTTTTTGTGTCTACGTTCACGGCATCTTTTCTGAGTTTTCAACTCAAGATATTTTATTATTAAGGGACACATTTTACATGGTTTGCTGGGCTGCAATCCAACAAAATTAGGTTAAATACTTGTAGTGGGAGCTTTCTAGTTGTTAATCGCTAAAAGTAAAATATTAGTTTGGTTCGAGTTCAATAGAATATCTAACACAGGTGCCTTGTCAAATAAGTTGATTTAACACAGAGTTCAAGATTTTGACATAAGATTCTCTGACTACTCGTGTTTTCAGTTATAAATTTTCGAAGCACTTTTGTGATTAACTCTTCATTCATAAAAAAAGATATTACGTCTTGAAAATTAAGCTTTTAAACTTATTGTTGTGCATGTCTGTTCAGAAGTGGCAATACCACCTCGCACTAACCTCCCTCCTCCCAGAATACCACCCCACACTAACCTCCCTCCTCCCAGAATACCACCTCGCACTAACCTCCCTCCTCCCAGAATAACACCTCACACTAACCTCCCTCCTCCCAGAATACCACCTCACACTAACCTCCCTCCTCCCAGAATACCACCTCACACTAACTTCCCTCCTCCCAGAATACCACCTCACACTAACATCCCTCCTCCCAGAATACCACCTCGCACTAACCTCCCTCCTCCCAGAATACCAGCCCACACTAACCTCCCTCCTCCCAGAATAACACCTCACACTAACCTCCCTCCTCCCAGAATACTACCTCACACTAACCTCCCTCCACCCTGCCACCCAGAATACCACCTCACACTAACCTCCCTACTCCTAGAATACCACTTCACACTAACATCCCTCCTCCCAGAATACCACTTCACACTAACCTCCCTCCTCCCAGAATACCACCTCACACTAACCTCCCTCCCAGAATACCACCTCACACTAACTTCCCTTCTCCCAGAATACCACCTCACACTAACCTCCCTCCACCCAGAATACCACCTCACACTAACCTCCCTCCTCCCAGAATACCACCTCACACTAACCTCCCTCCTCCCAGAATACCACCTCACGCTAACCTCCCTCCTCCCAGAATACCACCTCACACTAACCTCCCTCCTCCCAGAATACCAACTCACACTAACCTCCCTCCTCCCAGAATACCACCTCACACTACCTCCCTCCTCCCCCAATACCACCTCACACTAACCTTCTTCACAGAACAGCAGCAGTGGTGGGTCGTACAGTGGGAAACTCCAGAGAATGGGCAGCACCAGCTCTACCTCGGGCACTCCTCCCCTAACTCGCACCAGCTCTAACTCGAGCACTAAAGGATAAACTACTGCATGAGGAGCTCTGAATCCTACTTATATATCTACTTTATCACTCGCTACATGCTCCACGAATACCATTGATTTGGACGTATGCTTTTCTCGGAAAAAGTGTATTTTTTATAGTTTATTACTAACTATTGCTTTGTTGAAAAAGATTCAATTAAATATGTAGCTACAATTTTGAAGAGAAATGTTATGAATATGAATTGCTATGATGTACTTTGTTATTTTCTGATATGCCAGTAATGCCGAATGCTTATGTATCAATAAAATTTTAAATATTAAAATATGGAATGGAGGTTCACTTCTTTTCATGTCACTCTAATTAGCGTTTTGAATTTAAACCAGTTTTGTTAAGTTGTAAATCGTCGAATATGGAATTTCTTAAATCTTTTGTTTAAAGTGAGGTATGGACTTTTATGCGACCAACTATTTTAAGAGAATAAGTTTGGCTTTGTTTCAAGACAATGACTACATGTTAATTTCTACACCTTTTTAATTTCAAGCATCGTGGGATTTAGGCCCAAGATCCATTAATTATGGACTTTTATATACATGTTGATTTTGGAATTTATAATTTTATTAAATTCACTCTTATTTAGAAAATTTGAAAGAATTTTTTAATTGAAAATCAGTCCTATTGTCCGATCAAATTTCCATTGTTATAATACATAGTATCAAATATAGAATAGTGACCAAAGCCTATAACATATAAAAAAGGGTTCGCGTCTGGAAAAGTAGTCATAGTCTATCTAATAAGCGTCATAATTTGGCACAATATTTTGTCTCCGATTTTGATAAATTTGGTTACAAAAGTTGCCTCTAAGTATGAATAATACAAATTCACCGTGCAGAACGATAGCGTCGAGCTGTATGTTATGTGGGCATCCTGTGTATTGCAAGTGAGTAAAAAGGACGAAAAGTTGATAATTTTCCCCTTAAAATACCTAACTTCTAAAAGTAAAATATCAAATATTTAATTGTAATAAACTTGGCCAGATAAGACGCAACTTAACTTGTAGTATCAATGTTAATCATAATATTTGAAGGACCAAATAAAATTAAAAACTCACACAACACAAGTGTTCAGGTTCAACAATTTTAAAGATGATGTCCCTTTAAATCTTAAAATATTAGTATCAAAAGTTTCGTCTCGCTGAGCTGATTATTAACGGGTGATACTTTGACACGCTGTAACCCCTTTTGATCGCGCGCGCGGCCGGCTGGCGTGAGGCCAGGTATACAACGTGTAGCAAGTGATACTCCTAAAATATGGACCGTCGACGAATCCAACTCGGCGCGCGTCCTGGTAGGTAAGTAGGTTATAAACCTACAAAGCTGATTATTGATTGACGATGTCAACCCATCGAGATCGTTGCTCTGCGAATGGCGAAGCAGAGCAACGACGAACGAAGCAAGAATGCTAGTTTGCGCGGCGCATCGAAGCGGCGAAGTCCTCCAAAGCTGATTATACGACTTTATATTAATTAACAATTATTTAAAAATAATTGAAACTGTGGACGTTGTATAGGCTAAAATAAAAACTACGAGAATTGCAAAATGTGTGTAAAAAAAGCGCGCGCGGCGACCAAGCGCCGCGAAGCATTTTTAGCAAAAATTGCTGCACGGTGGAATTAGTTTATTTACAAAATTTTACTCACAAAATTGTATTCTCAAAATTTTACTCACAAAATTGTATTCTCAAAATTTAATTCACAAAATTTATCAAAATCGGAGAAAACGTTTGTGCCAACTCATGAACTCATGTGTCATGGCGCTTATTAATATTACAATTGGACTATCAGCTAGTTAGTGTTACACTTGTAGCGCGATGCACTACTGGGTCGCGCGCGCATCAAATAATGCTTCTCGCAACCTTCGGTAGATCGGCGAGATGCACCACTGTGCCTCACCGAGCTGCAAAGGATTGACATCGTGAATCAAGTGTTACACTATCAGCTAGTTAAGTGTACATTTCACCTATACTATGTACTAGCCATGAGTTTATGCGTACTGCGTGACTGGTGACGTTGTTGGAGGACTTCGCCGCTTCGACGCGCCGCGCGAACTAGCATTCTTGCTTCGCATCGTCGTCGATCGTTGCTCTGCTTCGCCAGACCATTAACAATCACAATGGTCAACGCGTATACACATGGCTATGTGAACTGGTGAAGCACATGTTTCGGCGGTCGCGCACTACTGTAAGCGGGAAGGCTCTGTGCAGTTGCGCGCGTGTCTTTACTGCGCAATGCACGCCGCGCGCAACTGCTACAAACTGCTAATAAAGCTGCTACAAACTGCCACTAACTGCCACTAACTGCCATGCCACAAACTGCTACTAACTGCTGCAAACGGCGTGCGAATGCGTGGGCGCGATTGCAGCAGTTAGTAGCAATTTGTGGCATGGCAGTTACTGGCAGTTTGTAGCAGTTAGTAGCAGTTTGTAGCAGTTTGTGGCAGTTTCTTTGCACTTTGCGTGTCATGTGAGGTGAGTTAACGGACGCGGAAGAAACCAACAATCAATAATGTTTGCCTCATGTATTGGAACCGTCAAACTTGAAGAATTGAAAACAGCAAAGCAGCTAATTGGAGCGCGCGCGCGCGCGTCCGTAGGTTTAGTTTGAGGTTGTGACCGTACATGCATAATACAACTTACAACTTAGGGCCTTAATAAGTTGATATTTTACGAGAATCACCCGTTAAAACTATCCAACTTCATCAATAGACGCGCGGTGCCAACTCTTTCGTATATATCATATATATCGTAGCTCTGCAACGACATACACCGCGCCGCAGCAATTGGCAATGCAACTTGCTTCGGAAGCAAGCATGGCATCAAGCTTGTAGTGCGATGCGTTACGCGCCACACACTCAATTATACAACAACAACAACAATGGCGAACCTAGTAAGCTAGGATCGAGTTGTCATACGTTGTATGACCCGCCGCGCACGAGTGCGCGGCTCCCCTGTATCGTAGAAACTCTACAGTGGTAGTGAAGCGACTGTGGGGGTCATCACGTGATACAAGGATCGAGGGGCCGATCTCCTTTTCTTTTGCGGTGCGGCCACGGTCCTTTTGTAGGTTTACAACATACCAGGACGCGCGCCGAGTTGGACTCGTCGACGGTCCAATATATGGAACAGATATTTTACGAGTATCACCCGTTAACGGTCCTTTCGGTACAGATTTCCTTGCAGCATAGTCGGGACTTGACCATTGTTAATGATCTGGCCCGGCGCGCGCTACTTCGTAGCCCGTGCTTTTGAGAAGAAAGCGGCACGCGCTACTTCGAAGAAATTTAGACGAGTATCATCCGTCAAAGTCGGGACGCAACCCCAGGCATATGCACTCAATTATCAATTATGCTTCTCGCTAGATCGTCGAAATGCGCTACCGTGCCTTGCCGAGCTGCGATGAATTGACATCGTCAATTAATATATATTAATATATATAACATCAGGCATGATGTTCTAAATCATAAATACGTGTTAGGGATCGATAAACCAGTATCAATTATAGCCTTGCGCGCGTTCGAAAGATTTGTCAGATCAGATCAGCTAGATTGCAGCCAGATCTCTAATTGCTTTATGGTTAAAATTGATTAGCTAGTCTGAAGTCAGGGTTTGAACTATTTGTCAGAGTTCTTTTATTTTTTATAAAAGGGTCGGGTAATACTTTCACCTAGCCACTAGTCTAGTCTACGCGTACTGCGTGACGCGCTTGTTTCAAGCGACAGGGTTGTAACGCGATGCACTACAAGCTGGGCCGGCAGCGCCGAGCATCAAATAATTCTTCTCGCAACCACAAATTGACTTCGGTAGATCGGCGAAATGCACCAGGCCACTGGGCCTCACCGAGCTGCGAAGGATTGACATCGTGAATCAAGCGAGAGGGCTCTGGATAGAGCAAGGTAATATTTGTAAAATCATTTGTTTGTATTTGTAAATAAATATTATTGACTGATCGAGTGCATACAGTCCGACAGCTGCAACATCAAGATGGGCTTCATCCTGTGTGTTGGTCTTCCATGAGAATGAGCTTGGTTGGACTGGCAGGAGTGCTAGTTCTATCCTTACGTCTTTACACTTTCAACTTTGCTTCTCGGAGGAAGAAAGCAGCAGTGTATCTTATGGCATTGTGGCGCATGGAAAAGTATCCACCTAGTTTGTGGCTCTTGAACCAGTAACTGTTTGTATACACGTTGATAGTATAACTTATTGATTCACGTTGTGAATTATTTTTCACAGAAAAGAGGTACACAACATGTAAATTTTTTTTTTTATTTTTTTTTTTAAGTAACTTTCAAACTACAAGTTTCCATCATATAGTCTTTATCAAAAAGCGTTGTCAGCTTTTGGATTGCTACACGTTGTATACCTCTTATCTTAGAAAGGACAGTCCTGCTTCGCGTGCGAAAAGGGGTTTGCAACGTGTATCAACTTTTGGAACAAGTTGCAATTTTTTATTATTTATGATGAATTGTCGATTTGTTTTAGTACTTGTTTTCTTCAATTCATTATGACGACAATTTCACAGACTAAGCTGTGGAAAATACAGGAATGTAATATAGTTAAACCTTAGCCAAGAAAAAATTGTGAACATTTAAATTTATGTTTATCATATTATTTTTAATAACATTTAAATCTAATTGTATACGATATTCAAACTTCGACATCATCAAATTAACAAACTATCTTTAGCCAGGAATCAAGAAATATCATCAGGTGATGCTAAAAAGACTTATTCCATCGTTAATAAGTTGCTCAATAAAGAAAAAGTTAGTACTACTACACCTTCTTGCTCTTCAAATCTTGAGAGTGCTAACAACTTTGCACAGTTCTTTAAATCAAAGGTCGACAACATATACAACAACATTTATTTAGAACAACAATCCCAAGATTCTCCTAACTCAGATGAATTTGTTCCTCTTTCTAATAGCCCAAAGATAGTACAATTCCGTCATGTGTCTGATGAAGAACTAGTAAGCATCATAAAGAATATGTCTAACAAATTCTGTGATCTTGACCCCATACCTACAAAGATTCTCATCAAGTGTCTCCCAGAACTCCTTCCTCTGATCTCATTTATAGTCAATGAATCATTAGTTAAAGGTGAGTTTCCTATAAAACTTAAGGAGGCTCTCATTCGTCCAAGTTTGAAGAAACGTGGCCTTGACGGTGAATCTCTATCTAACTATAGGCCTATTAGCAATCTCTCATTCTTGTCAAAAATCATTGAGAAGTGTGTATCTATACAGCTCACCAGTTATCTTGAGGATAACAACCCCAGTGGCAAATAGTCAGGCGTCCAGGAATTTAACACCTAGTCAAAATTTGTTGATAACCGGTAAAAAAAGATTCTTGTGGAAAAAATATTCACATTAATTTAAAATTAAATCAAAATTGGTCGCTCTCAGGGCTAACGCGATGTTACATCATTTTATCGACTCGAAGTTCGAATCGAGCGCATTCCTAGATTCCATGACTATTTCTTACCTATAAGATTGCTTGACTATTTTTTGCGCATTCAGACACCAAAAAACGCGCAGAAAACGCGAGCTATCCATTCCTCCTTCCTCAACATCCCGGAATATGAAAAAAATAG